CAGCTTTTCTCCCATGCCAAAACAAAGCTCCCTGCCAGGGCGATGGCTTGGGGTGAAAGAAATTTGATCCTTGGAACAAAATCCTACAATACTTCTCCATTTCTCATTCCAAAGCTAGACTCTGAATTATGAGTCATTTTCTCAGATCACCCAGTAATCAGCAATGTTTCTTGTTTACTTAATTCATTCTTTCGCCTCACTCTATATATGATTTACTGGGGGTGTGCATCAGATTTTGACAAATTCTGAGTTGGTCTGGGCTGATTTGGAAAGGTTCGTGGCTTTTCTAAACCAAAGTTTGGTCTTTCTGAATCACCGTGAAGCAAATGAGAAGCCTCTGGCATGATTTGGAGAGATGTGGAGATTTGGACATCTAAAAAACAACTATGCAGATAGCATGTTTCAAAAAAAAAATCAACAATTTATCCTCAAGCTTGCCATATAAGGAAAATGCCATATTGGGGAGAGGGTGCTGTGCATTTTCAATGTGCAGAAAAACACAGGAAGGAAACACAGAGGTTGGCTCTGCCAGTTTTAAGATTGCAGATTTTGGAAGGTTTACATCTTTACTGCCACTTTAGCCAGTGAGGACAGATGTAGGCTTGATATATAATATGTGGAGGATAATAAAAGTGACCTGCCTATCAGACGAATGAGATTAATTATAGCTTCCCTTTCTCTGCTGGTAAGTTCTGCTCTGCTGCTTCTTCATAATGATTTGTCTGTGTCTTGCCATTCGTGCAGTAGTCAAGGCAATGGAAGTCAAGAGCTTTTATTTTTTTTAAAAAAAGGCAGAAACCTTCATTAGGATTCTGATAAGCACTGAGGTGCACTTGTTCAAATACATCTCTCTTGTAAGCCTGATCCTTGTCACTGATACAAAACCACATATACCAGTTTTATTTTTATTTTTGGCTTTTGTTTTGAGGCTAAGCAAATGCTTGTACCTATACAGCCAAATGGCATTTCATGTTGTAAGATCATTGGGTCCAGTAGGGCTGTAATGGAGATGAATTAAGCTCTGCTTTGTTTTGGGCCATGGCAACAAGAATGAAAGATGTATTACATTCTAAACCACATGTTTTACAAGGAGCCAAGAGTTACCACAGAAAGTATAAAACATAAATTTGGCATTGATCAGTGTATAGTTATGGAATGAAGTAATTAATTTTTACTGGTGAGATGTTTTCCCAGCTTAACTTCTGCATAGTTTTTGAGATCTCAGTTTCACTTGCCCAATGCAGGCCTGCTGACTACCATTTGGTCTGGTGTTTGAGAGAACTTCATTACAGTATTTAAACTATGTTAAATCCGTATTTGCTGGGCAGTGTGTGCTCTGATCTCAGCCATTATTTAGCCCTTCTTTTGCTGTGTATGAATGTCAAGATCTGAGCAAGGTTTCTTTATTCCAAAGAGCATCGGACTAGTGTTTCTGCATCCTACTAGGTCAGATCCTAAGGGAAGACAATGAAATAGCTTGCTTGACACCTCTTGAAAATAGCGGGGGGGGGGTCTATTTTCACATCTTTCTCTTTTGCATAATGTATGATATCTGAATTAACTTTCATGACATATTAACACTCTAGAGCTGACTTAATATATAGTGTTATGTAATACATTATGCATGGCTTGTGCATCAGTTGGGCTGCGATTTCGGCAGCCACAGACTTGAAATGGTCTCTCAGTGACATAACTGTTAAGTAACAATGAAGCCAAATTCTGCATGCTGAATTTTATTTTGCATTGCTTCTTGTTATGTTTGACTTTTCTAATTTACTGAAACCACTAAGATGTAAACTGTGACTCTCCTCTTCATGTTATCCACAAAAAGGAAAGGGGATGGGGGGTGGGATTTCATTCCTTTCCCTTCAAGCTGAGCTAATTCCCTTGACGTCCCATTGTAATTTCAGTCTACAACATCAGAAGCATTATGAATTGTGATATCTTTGCCTCGTACAGGCAATAGGATGTGAAGAGAAAGAACAATGCTCAAATGTTAACATTGTGATTATAATGCGCTATTCACAAGTGTGGAAATGGCATGATCAACATGCCTGCACTCTCACAGAACCACAGAACTGTAGCGTTGGAAGGGACCCCAGACAGATGGCCAGCCAACCTCTCTTTGAAAACCTCCAAGGAAGGAGAGTCCACCGCCTTCCAAGGGAGTCCGTTCCACTGTCGAACAGCTCTTACTGTCAGAAAGTTCTTCCTCATGTTTAGTTGGAATCTCCTTTCTTGTAATTTGAATCATGTTTAATGGATCTAAAAATAGTTACACTGCCAATGCTAAAAAGCTTTTAAGCAGCATTTTGTCAGGATTATATGAATTGGATTGATGCTGAATAAAACATATGCATGAATGGCTATATTTGTTAATTCCAGAAGAGCAGTCTTGTTAGCCTGTAGCAGCAAAAAGGCAGTCATGTGGCCTTAGAGACTCACTGGTATACAATGATAAACTTCCAGAGGAAACAGCTTAATGTGTCCAGTTACTTTGTCCTTCTTCTTCTTCCTTTTCTCTCTTCTCTCAATTATCTTCTATTTGAATTTAGTTTATAGGGTCCTTGTAGCAGATGTATGTTGTTGTTTTAAATCAGTAGCAGTGTACATGTGTTATGTCTTGGTGTGGTGTTGGCAGTCTTTTTTGGGAGAAAGAGGAGGAGGAGAAGGAGAAGGAGCCAGTACTCTTATATGTCTCTTATAAGTCCCATGTGTGGCAACATAATTGCTGCCATGGACAGCTTAAAAAGAAAAAGATACCAGTACTCTGTACTGCTGAGGACAATTAAATAAAATGGAATAATATGGATTGAACCATTTCTTAATGGAATAATATGAAATGAACCTAGAGAACCATGTGTAAAGAAAATAGCTGCTAGCACTGTTCTGAACGTGCATTTGAAAGAGTCCATTTAGTGTTGTAATAAATGATAATCACAACCCTCACCATTCCTTTTTCAGTTGTTTCAATCTCTCATTCCTTTAATTCATCATTTGCAAACAGAGTTTGGAGGGCCCATTTTTGTTCAGTGAGAAGTTGAAATAACCTTTAATATGCAGAAGACATATTTTGCATCTAGAAGGATCCAGCTATGCATAACTATGATGCTATGTAATAATAAATAATTATAATAAAATACGTTGCATCCTTTTTACTCTGTAAAGGTGTGCAGGTATGAATATAATAACCTTTCTTAAAAATATATTCATCCTTGTCTTTCATGGACAAATTAATATCTAAGAATATGAGAGTGATATTCATATGCATTGGTTGTCCTACACAACTAGGAGGCTTTATTGTCAATTTCCAATCTGTATTACTAACCATACCCTTTGCTCCTTTGGCACTAAATGAAGTGTACAGCTATTCTACTAATTAAGCTGCAATTTGTATGTAAACATAATTTTGCCGTTTAGAAAGTTATGAGCAGGCCACTTTTTGAATACAGAGCTAAGAAGTGACTTTCAGGGTCACAGCTTCTCACACTTCCTATGGCTTCTTTTGTTTAATTTGAAATCCTCAGCCTTGCATTTAGCTAATAATTAAATGCACAGTGTTTGATCGCTCAGCCTGCCAGTGAAGTGGCAAAGGCCTTTTTCACATAGTATGCTTTCCTTATGACACATACTGTGATGTGACATCCTCAGCTGGGCTATACAATGCACTTCTAACCCTTTGTAAGTATCCGCTGTTACCATCATTCACACAGGACATCGGTCAAAGGCAAGTGCCAAGATATTTAAATGCATTAATAAGTGGAGTCAAAGGGTGTCTCTCTGTGTGTGTGTTTGGAACAAAGCTCACTCAGAGAGCACATCTTTTACATGCAGAATACTGTGCCGGTTCAGTTTTCAGTTTCAGCAATTATCTTAGGGGTATGGAATTTCTGACCCCTCCCCCCAGATGTTAAACTACAGTTCTATAGTTCCAATTATCCCTGAACATTGGCCATGCTTACTGGGGTTGATGGCATTTGGAGCCCAACAACAGCTGGAGGGCCACAGGGTCCCCAGCCCTGAAATAACAGGTCTCAGGAACCAGTGCTCTCCTTTCCAGGTGTGGCCATCCTCCGCTTGACTTTATTGTTTATTGTTCTATCTGCACCAGACAATCTGTGGTTAATTTAAACTGTGAATGATTGAAAAAAAATCAAATATCAAACCATGGTTTTTGATCTTGCCATGTTTTAAAAACCCATAGTTTTTAAACTAATCACAGTACCTGTTTTGGACATAATAAATGGTGGTTTGTTTCAAGGAGGAAGTGGGTGTTTCTAGTCTCCTCCTCATGGCTGCTCTGAGGAAGGAGATGGAAGGGGGAGCATGTGAACACAAGGCTTGTCCAGCCTTGTTCCCTTGGTCAGAAACCATTCTGCTTTTGCTTTTCTTTAGTTGTCATATGCAAACTTCAGTTTTTTGTGGAGGAGAGAAGAGAAAGCTTGAACCCAAGGCTTGACCAAGCTCATCCATGGTTTAGCAATGTGTTTGAACTGAGCCACTGAACTGATTGCAAATATGTCGGCATTATGCCAGTATTGAACATTAATCAAATCATAGCATTAGGTACAAATTATGGGCCTTTTATGACATATATCAATGACTAAGGCCTGGCACGTAGACAAATCAAGCCAAATAAAAGAACCAGATTTCTGTCCCTGATAGTACCGAATGAACAATCTACTATACCTGTTTCCCAGGTAGAATCTGCATCACCCATTGCCACATCTTATATCATTCCAGAGCATCCTCTGACCGTCAGAGTGACTTTCCAGGGAGCACAAGGGATTCCATTAAGGAAGCAGGGTGGGGAAAGCGCTTTTGCATGACTGGAGTTCTGCTTATACAACTTGGGATCCCACCCATTGTTATATATCCTCTCCACTTTCAGCAAATCTGCTTTCCAGCCTTTAAACCTTCTCTACAGCCAACTGGTGTCTTTTCCTAATTTTCCCACCTGTTCAGATAAATAACAAACACAAATTGATTTTGGCTTTCAGCATAGAGGGAGGAGAGAAAGATGACAAACTATTTCTTTCAATGAAGAATGGTTTCTGGGAAGAGAGCATTCTGGAGTGGGACGGAGACAAAACACTGTATCTGGAATTCATTTTCTTCATTGAAGATTTTCCAGGTAATAACCATAAATATTGTAATGTTTATAGCCTTCTTATTTTGTTCTCATTACATTTTAAATCACTGATTCCTAAGGTGTTATTCCTCCTACATACTGTTTGGTCATAATCTTTTGTTGCAGAAAAATGTGAGCCCATTCAGACTTTTTTTTTTTTAAAAAAAAGTCTAAATAAATACCCAGTTTTATCTTTGCTTTTAATGTTTTCACATTTGAATCTGCTGGTTTTATATACACTGTTCCCACAGTATGCCATGGTTCAACTTAGCAAACTACAGTGGTACCTCAGGTTAAGAACTTAATTCATTCCGGAGGTCTGTTCTTAACCTGAAACCATTCTTAACCTGAGGTACCACTTTAGCTAGTGGGGCCTCCCGCTGCTGTGCAATTTCTGTTCTCATCCTGAGGTAAAGTTCTTAACTTGAGGTACTACTTCTGGGATAGCGGAGTCTGTAAACCCAAAGTGTTTGTAACCCGAGGTGTTTGTAACCTGAGGTACCACTGTACTGCCCCATGTGGCATTCCTCTTGAACATACCATGTGGGAAATGATGAGTATACACAGTCTTTTACCATGTGCAACACAAGAGGAATGCTTAAATTGAGCTCAGAAATCAACGAGGAATTATTCTCTTGGTTTCCCCCTTTCTTAATTAAAAAACAAAAGAAAATGCAGGAAGTAAAGAATGACAACATTCTATTGAACGATTCGCCATCCTTTTGATGCAAATATTCATACAAATATTGTATGAATCTTTCCATGAAAATAGCATGTCATAAAAGATCATTATCATTGCAATGGTTACCAAAAAGGATGCCTTAAGGGGTTTTGAACAGTAAAGTCCACAAGGTTCATGCAGAGGTATAATATTTAAACTGGTAAAGCTGCTCACGCTATTTTTAATAGTCCATATCTGTTCATCTGTGTAAATCATGCTTTCAAAAAAGGTTCATTACCAAAAGAACTTTACTCGGGAAGGGAATGTTAATAAGTAATGAAACAAAGAGCTCTGTCATAGAGATTAAGTACCCCTGTGTCTAAGTACAAAGTTCATGTAGCAAAGTGCAGCTGTTACTCTGCTCATAACCCTACAGCAGCCTTCTAACCTCCGTTCAAAATCTGTCTGCTGGCTTTCCTGTTACTGTGCTGACTAGTGCAAGGTCCAGCCAAGGTTCAAAGTTCACTGTCTGAAGGCTTGCTGGCTGTGTCCTTTGTGCAGATCTGACAATTTGCAGATAAGCCACAAATGGCTTGTTTAGATCATTTGCCCACGCAGTGGAGAGAGTTTCCATCCTTGGTTCTCTCATGGAAGCTTAGAAAATACAGAAAGCATATTCAAATAACTACTATGGTAACATACCAGAAATTATAATGCATTTCATTAATGCCTGTGAAATAATGCTGCTTGGTTGGGGTGAGAGACCCTGATATATAGCACAACCTCCAGAATGTAAACTTGAAATCAATCAAAGCAAATGGGCGAAGAGTTAAATACATGGCTGAAAGCAGATTAATAAAGTTTTTTTCTATATTCTATTTGGAAAGTATTCCAAACGCTCTCACTGTTAGAGTTTTAAGGAAACATGACTTTATTTTCATTCATAACTCGAAATTACATGGGGACATGCTAAATTTGGATTACAATGAATTTGCCCAGTCAATCCAAAGCACAATTAGTGGTTTGTCTCAGTTGCCAAGCTATGAAAGGGGCAGTGCCAAGCAGACCACTGCCCCTGTAGCTCCTTGGCACCACAGATGCGAGGCAAAAGGAAGCTGTGGTTCCTTTAATTATAAGATGTATGTGAAGGGATGAAACAGTTTCAACCACTTTGCCGTTTTGCTTTTTGATTGTTTTAGAAGCTGTTCTCACCAGGAAGTTCTAAAGGTCACAGGAAGTTTAGAAAAACCAGCCCAGGAAATCAAAACTTTAAAAGAGAAAGAAACAAAAAATGTATAGATGACAGAAAAGAAATTTAGCAAATAATAGAAAACAGAACATTAACACAACTTTGGTTTGGTTAAGAAGTTAGGCAGAGAAGTGGAAATACAGTAATGCAGATAGGTAAAACTGGCTAATGCAGTTGATTACCGGTAGTTACATCCCGAAGAAAGAAGCCTGGATGAAAAGAGCTGCAGTGGTCCAAGACTGTAAAAGCTGAAATGAGATAAATGGAAACTAATTTACAGTGAAATATTGGCTCGGGGAGAGAAATAAACTAGACTGGGTTTAGATGGATTCAAAGAATTGTAGTTTACTCATTGCAGAGCTACAATTCTCAGCACCCTTAACAAACTACAGTTCCCAGGATTGGGGGGGAAGGGCTTAAATGTACTTTAGATGTATAAAGAGCCCAGTATGCCACTACCATGATAGCTTTTCCAGGTGCTGGAATGCCATAAAATACCCTTACAGGAAGAACCTCCAACATTATTTCTGCATCAAGTCTGACACCAATGATGTGGACTATGCATAGCTTGGAAAATTCAAGACACAGAACTGTAATGTAAAAAGAAGAAGAAAAGACCCTCCTTTTAAAGAAAACCAGTGCCTACGTGCATTTAAATGTTAAAAGGGAAACTAGCCCAAAAACAGCCCCAAAGAAACACACACACACACTCCAAATAACAAGCTTTCTCTACACTGCCTGGCCAGGGTGTTGTGCTTGACAGGATCCCAAGATAGCAAGAGCGGTTTGTTTTAAATCAGGAGTGGAAATCTTATACCATCCTGTGAGAACAGGATGCTGGACCAGGTGGACCATTGGCCTGATTCACCTGACTCTTTTTATGTTCTTAAGAGCAGCCAAGTTAAAATTTCAAAACTCATGCAGATTCTGGCTTCTTTTGTCTAACCAGCAAATGCACCAACAGACTGCTTCAGAATAGCCAGGTTATAGTGACCAAAGCTTTGATAGCCAACCAATATAGATAGATCATTTTCATCTCGGGTACAGCTTGGCCAGAATGCACCGCTTACTATGCTCAACTTTTCTCTCAGCATCCTACATATGCCTTATCCCAGGCTTTTTCATATCAGCCAGGGCAGAAGGCAGCGTATGGCAAGCTAAGCTAAGACTCTACTGAAAAATGAGAGGGCCATTCTGAAAGAGGAGGAAAGCCAGAAACCGGGTCCTAGATACAGTAACACGCTGCTGTTCTCTCCCGCGTCTGTTGCCTTGCCTTCCTTTCTGGTCCCACTGCTTCCCTTATTAAAATGCAAGCTCCACTCTGCTCCAGGCCACAGCAAAGGCTCCAGCTACCTGACACTTTCCAGGAAGTTCCAAGGTGCATTATGCCACCATAGGGAAGGGCAGGTGCTTGTGGTCTGAATTGCAGCTGCCCGGCAAATACTCCACTTTGCAAATGCCGCAATCAGCTCTGAAAGTTCTTCATTCTGAAATCATCTATTAAATGAAATGCTAACTGCTACCACAGATTCATCCTATCTTTTCAATTCAGTTTGCCCCTCTGATGTTAGAGCACTGTGGACAAAATTGTACTGAAGAATAGCAGGCAGAATGCTATGGCAAGTTGCTTGACCTGAGCTTGATACGCAAGTGGAAAACAAGAAGTGCAAGAATTAGATTGAAATTGAACATGGGGGAAATAGCCACCCCCCTACTCCTTCCATGCCAAGACCTTGTCCTGTGACATAGGTCACATGCTTCATAAAGGTCTCATGGGTTTTCCTGTGTGGGCCAGCCTTTGGCAAGGACTGAGGGTGCTTTGAGGACTGCTGTGTAGTTATACCTTAAGTGGTGGGCTGAATTAGAGATGGAAATTTTACTTTCTAATGGAATCTTTGCACTAGGTCAGCAGCCGCCCTCACCTTCTCTGGGGCACATTTGGCAGAGTTTTCGCTCTGGGGGGGTTACAGATCAAAGTAAATAACATGATCTCTGCAATTCCCCAGAGGCCCCGTGTTCCTATGAAGTTATCTTCCCACACCTACAGTCGTGCACTCTTGGCTCTGCAGAGCAAGGTCAGAAGAGGCTTCCTTTCCAGACTGCTTCCGTCTTTGAAAAATATACAAAGGGTTTCCTTTTTGCTTAGCAAAAGTCAAAGCTACAAGCTGTGTTACTACAAAACCAGAATGGCAGATTCAAGTCCAAGAGTAGCCTTCTTTTCTGCTGGTTGTGCTTTTCAAGTTCATCCCCACTGAAGCCACAAGCTGGAACAGGAATGGATACGGCAATGTTTCCCAAAGCTTCTTGAATGCAAGCCTATGTTCTGTATATTTACACAAGAATTACCCTGAGCCCTAGATCCATAAATGGGAGGCTTCTTCAGAAGAGCACACTGGTTTTTTTAAAAGCAAATCAGACAAAACAAGACTCAAAGATTCAGCTATATCTTCTCTTTTCCTGTGGGTTTGGGAAGATGGTGAATCAGAGAATTGTAGGGTTGGAAGGGATGCTGAGAATCATCTAGTCCATCCCCCCTGCAATGCAGGAATATGCAGCTGTCCCATATGGGGATCGAAACGGCAACCAGTGAGAATATTAGTAACTGGTCCTCAATTTATTCTTCCCTAAGCACATATGGCGAATTATGCATAAAGAGTAACAAGAGGGAGGAGAACAAATGCTTGAACCATGCCTTGAAAAGGCCCAGCCAAAATTTAAATACTGATTTTAAAAACGAGCAAAGCTACAACTATTTCTAATACTTCTGTCCTTTCTCCAGTGCAGGGTTACTTTAAATTGTTTAGGCTGGAAATCCACATGCTGCACCAGTCCACTTGTATAGCAATCACACCTGTAGTGAACCAACCTGGGTGCAGTTGACATTGACGTGATGTGTACAGTTGGATCAGTGCACCAGTGGAAGAAGTTTAAATGTTTCCTCTGATGTACACATTGTTCTCAGAATTGTTGTATGCCTGGTTTCACAAAAACGCTATAGCAGCACTTTTCAAAATAGTGTCTAAGGAATATCAATGGTTTTCTTGTATAGCTACCTCAGTCTATGTGCTGCCCTGTGCCCTGCCCTAAACATTGCAGTGGAGAATGGGGGGAAATGGACACAGGGTGCCTTTTTGTGGGGAGTGGGGCTGCCCTGTGCTACACTGACTGGTAGTGGCTTGTCAGGGTTTCAGGCTGGAAACATTCCCAGCTCTACCTGGAAATGCTGGGAATGGATCTGGAACATTCTATATGCAAAGCAGATGCTCTATCACTGAACTACAGCCCTCCCTCAAAGCTATTATTATTATTATTATTATTATTATTATTATTATTATATTTTACTAAAGCTATGAGGTGACCACTGCTGAGATTCTCCTGGCACATGTGATTAAATTTTATATGGGTTCGCAATGTACATCCAAGATGTTGCTTTGTCTGTTGCATAGTGAGGGTGATGTGGGTGGACTGATCCTGCAAGTAGCCATATACGGCAGGGTTATGTGGGCAACTATACTCAGTGCTATTTTTCTAGAAAAAGAGGTTCCAAACTCACCATGAACAGCTCCCTTGTTCTCTTAGAATGGCAATGGTGTCCTGTGTTCCGATGAGTTCCAGCCGGGGAGGAAAAACCCTGACTCTACTATGTGGCTAGGGTTCTTCCATAGATAGGATTAATTAACTTGTTCAAGCACTTGTAAAGCTGCCAGTTGCTTGTAAAAGTGAATTTACAAAACTGTGAGGAAGGAACAGTGTGATATTTTGAGTATGCTAATTGAAAGCGAGGCATTTACCGAGGTTGTTCTTGTTATTTTCTGCAGATTCAGATCTCAGCTCCTGACAAGGGATTCAGGGCAGAACTAAAATATGATGACTGACTTGGCAGCAGGGAAAAAAGGTCATTTACTCTAATGCAATAAAGATAAAGCAATAAGTTCCAGTGATGCATATAGTATGTTCTGTGCTTTCTCGCTTGTTCTTTCTTCCCTCAGCAAAAGCATGGCATGAATACAGCGCAAGCAGAAATTTTTACCAAAGAAGCCAACCATCTCACTTGTTACAAAAAAAGAGGTCCTGTCATCTGTTGAGGTATAACCTCAGAAGCTTAGCACAGTCCTTTTATTTTATTATTCAAATCTATCTACTTTTTAATCATCTCTCGGGCAATGGAAAAAGCCGCTGATCGTGCACTACTCTTGCATAAAAATACACATTTCTCTAAAGCAGTTGAATTCAATAGGCGTTTGGAATGGGGTGGGGGAGAATAGGACCAAATCCAAAGAGGACAATTTGTGCAGTGCATTGCGACAAACATGTTTAGCAGATTTTACTTGCTCAGCATTAAATAGATGTGAAAATGGAAAGCATTTATATTCATAGAAATTTACTGACATTTTAAAAATAGTAAAGAAATTTTTCAAGGGAACGGAGGGTGTTTCCCCCCACCCGCAAGTTCCTTTCCTTTGGGTTGTCATAACAGCCTACAAAGCTGCTCTACATTTATAGCAGATTGTTCTCTGTCGTTTATAATTACACTGCATGGGAGAAAAGCAATTCTGAATCTTTTTAATAAATATAATTGAAGCCACTCACTTCTGGGGGGAGTATTTTAGTTACCCAACACATTTTCAATTACATTTATTGAAGGATCCAAAATGTTACTCGCTGTCAGAAGCAGTTTGGTGAGCAAGAACGTTTTTAATGCGAAGCCATTACGGCCATAACATAATGGCAATTTCACAACTTGAAAGCAGCACTTTGGGGTCATGTTACCAACCACACACTTTGCAACATTGTTTTTTATTGAGTCCTATTGAGCTATGAGCTTTTGGGTGTTTTAATACAATACACAGCTGATTGCTGCTTCAATGAAGGCCTGGTTCTCATAGCAGCCATTTTATTTCTTCATTTGCTTAAACATTTATATGTTGCTGTTTACAACCACACACAGAGAAAACTACAACCATGTCAAATCAATAAAAACTGGAGAAAAACATAACACAGCAATAAAATGTATGCTGGTCAGCAGTGGTAGACTTTGGACTTTAAAATTTCAGTGGTGCCCTATGCAACACCAGAAGTCAATTAGAAACAGAAACCTCTAACAATGCAGTTTGGTAGTGAGAACTGGAAGACACTGCTTGCTTTTATAACGACCCTTAATAATAATAATAATAATAATTTATTATTTGTACCCCGCCCATCTGGCTGGGTTTCCCCAGCCACTCTGGGCGGCTTCCATAGAAACCAAAAACCCCACTAAAATATCATACATTAAAAACTTCCCTGAACAGGGCTGCCTTAAGATGTCTTCTGAATGTCAGGTAGTTGTTTATCGTTTTGACATCTGATGGGAGGGCATTCCACAGGGCAGGCGCCACTACCGAAAAGGCCCTCTGCCTGGTTCCCTGTAGCTTTGCTTCTCGCAATGAGGGAACCGCCAGAAGGCCCTCGGCGCTGGACCTCAGCGTCCGGGCAGAACGATGGGGGTGGAGACGCTCCTTCAGGTATACTGGGCCGAGGCCATTTAGGGCTTTAAAGGTCAACACCAGCACTTTGAATTGTGCTCGGAAACGTATTAAAAAATTATTATTTCTGCCGGATAATATACATGTCTGTTCAGAGGTAAGTCCCACAGATTTGGGTACTGCTTTCTCCAGGTAAGTAGATATAGGACTGAAACTTCAGGTTGTACATGGATAATCACATGTGATCATAAAAGCAACAATGAAGAGTCTTGTGACACACAAAGACAAACAAATTTAACCCATTTTTTCATAGCCCACAGTCCACTTCAATCTTTGCATCAGCTGACAAGCTAATTTTAACTCGCTTGCATAAACCATCCTGATTTTTTTAATAAACCCACACAGATTTGAGATGCAATAAATTTGCATTGCAAGCTGCATTCAGTTTTTCCTTTCGTATTTCCCCCCCCCCCTTTTGTATAACATAGTCTTGTCGGCATAAACACAGCAATACACTGAAAAGGGAAAAGTCAGTTGTAGGTTGGTTGCTAGAAACAAACAACAACAATGGTTATGAATTTGTTCAATGCAAGAACAGAAAAAGGGGCAGTTAGAATTAAGAGTGAAATGAATGTCAGTGGGAAGAGACGAGGTTGTCTTGTCAGAAGATAATTAACAGGCTAAAGGGTGTGAGGCCAAGTTCTAAAACGAAGATGTGATAATTATTCACATAGTGAGAAGCTGGTAGAGAGTCAACTTTGGGAATTGCAAGGAATCAAAATAACAGTAAAGCACTGAGGGGGGGGGAATGTGTTGGCAGTAATAAAGAGACAGATTTTATATCTTTTGTGTAGCCTCATTAAATACATTTCTGAACTTGAAATGTTCATTTCGTAAAAAGATTGCAACTATTTAGCAATATATGCTGGTTACCCATTAGCCATTGATGCACACTCCAAGTGTTTATCTGGAATTTCCTGAAACATAAATAAAAATAGCAATACCTATGGATCTCTTACTGAAATTATCTAAATATATAAGGCAAAATTCTGCCCCTACCAGCTGAGTATTTACTAGGGGTGTACACTGATTATGTGCATATCCTGAAAAATGATTCAGGTAGAGGTGATTCAGGCGAAGTTGTCACATTCCCGATTCATATTGTGCCATTAACAATTTGTCTTGTCAGATCAGGCCCTCCCTCAAGTCCTGAGTTTGCTCTGTGAATGCTGCTTTTTGCCATTTAAAATAAAGTGACCATTTCATTTTTTTAAAAAGTGAAATCAAGCTGATGAGGGAAACACCTTGAGCTTGAGTGAGGAGGAGGTGGAGATGAAAAAGGGGTGGAGAAATGATGGGGGAATCGTTTGTTTTGGCAGGGAGGTCTAGGTTTTAATCATAGTAAATTATTTTCCAAGAGCACGCCAATCACAGTGATTTGGGGAGAATGTTAGAGCAAATAAGCAGGGGACAGCAAACTTTTTCAGCAGGGGCCGGTCCACTGTCCCTCAGACCTTGTGGGGGGCAAGACTATATTTTGAAGAGAGAAAAAAGAACGAATTCCTATGCCCCACAAATAACCCAGAGATGCGTTTTAAATAAAAGCACACATTATACTTATGTAAAAACACCAGGCAGGCCCCACAAATAACCCAGAGATGCATTTTAAATAAAAGGACACATTCTACTCATGTAAAAACATGCTGATTCCTGGACCATCTGTGGGCCGGATTTGGAAGCAATTGGACTGAATTTTAGTCTTAGTTTGCCTACCCATGAAATAAAGAGTGTGCTTTTCACATGGTTATTGTTCTACTCCCAGCTCCAGCCAGCAGAGCAGTGGAACACTGGCAGCCTTCCCAATCACTTTGTCTCCTAACAAAAATTAAAAATAAGCTCTTAATCAATTGGTTTTCATTCTGGTATATACTCCACCCCACCCCCCCCAGTTTACGTTAGTTGGGTTATGAGTTTGCAAACTTTTAGGACAAGTTCATCAGATTATTTTACTTTCTTTCTCTTTCACTTCTGTTGTAGGCTTTTTCATGTGATCTATTTCCTCTTTTTATTCTAAAATGTGTGAGAAAATCTTTCTTCTTTTTCAATAAGCTTTAAAGGTTCCCTGCACAAAAATCCCTGAATGGATTTGCCTATGGTTTGGTAGGCTTGATCCACTCTGGAGGAGCTCTTTTGTCTGCAAATTCCATCCACTTCTGTTTAAAGTTGGAAAGTTTATAGCCATTTTTCGATTTCCAGTTATAGGTAGTGGGTGTGAAAACAGAATTTTAGGTTTAACTGGTTTGACTCATGCCTGCATAGGACACAGCATTTGTGAAATAGGTTGCTTCAAAACACTACAGAGACAAGGGGCATTTTGTGGTTGCTGCATGTCCCTACAAAGTAAGTCCACTGGCTAGTACTTGTGTGAGAATGTGTGTGTAAATCGGAACTTATGATATGGTCATCATGGCATATGTATAAGATTGACATAACTAATATGGCGACTCTATGATGAGCTTTGGTGACCCTGGAACAAGCCAGATTCCAGCTCCCTGCAGAAAGTCATCTGGGCATATCCTGAATTCACCCACATCTGACCTAAAAGATTAACACATGCAAATTTAGTTGCTAAGTACAGGATACTCAACTCCTCAGTAGGCTCCATCCACACGACAGTAAGGTGATTTGAAGGCAGATAGCAGACAGGGATGCCAAAGATCCTAAACCTCTCAGCAGTGTGTATATGAACATAAATGAGTGCTGTCTGTGCACATGTGAGTCCACAAGAGAAGGGAAAAAAGAAACCCAATGTGACTCTTGTGGGTTGCACACTCCAGTAGTATTTCTAACAGTCTGCAGAGGCTCCAAACACATGCAGACACATTGCTTGTCCTGAATGCACACAATTCCTTCAAAAGCCCTATCAACAATGTTAATGCATGCTAGGTTGGTGTGACAAGGCAAGAGCCCTCCGTGTCATTAAGCCATGCCACCTATCTCCTAACCTACTTCCCTACGAGAACAAGCACACAGGGCTGCAGCCCAGCAACCCTGAGAGTCAGTCTGCAACCTGGAGGGACAAAAGTGCTAGGGTGTACTTATAGTATCAGATTGCATGCTGGGAGCTGAGCAGATTACAGCAATCAGCATGGTGGTTCTGCTGGTTGCTGGAAATAGAAGGCCAACTTGCCTACACCTTTTCTCTTGTCTCATCTCATCTCATCCCTTGGAAATCTGTCTGATAATATGAAATTCCCCCGCAGATCCGCCTACTCAGCTTGGGCTGCAACTGCATGGAAATCAAACGCAGCTCAATGTTCAAGTTCCCCACCCTCCACAAGAGTGACAGCGAGCCAGAATTGTGCCCTTTACGACTCACAAATCATCCCTTTGGAAATTGAAGGGCTTTACTGAAATGGGTC